TCTATGTGGAAACATCTCCCTAGCTTTTTATAGTAGTGATCTTATGCCATGATTGTCATGTTTTAAATTTATCGATTCTATCAAATATTTAAAGAAGAACTAACACCAATCCTCCACAGACTTCTTCAGAAAAGATAAAAAGATGAAACACTTCTGACTTCTTTTATAAAGCCAACATTCTACTGACAAAGGATATTAAACAACCCCAAATGTTGACTTGGCAAATATTTTCTTAGGTATGTTTTTACCAATTTTTAAAAACTAGGTGGTAATTCTTAGAAAGCTGAATATGAGACTTTTTGAAATTGTGATTTGAGTGAAAGTATACAGAGAAAACTGGTTTTCTACAACCACTCATGTGCATTTTGTGATATGACAATTACAAAACCCACAATGTAACTATGCTCCTGCCTCTTCCTTGTGGTTCTCATTTCCATCAGCCCTTCTGTCCCATCCCTTCCTGTCCTCTGAGCTTTATTTCGGGGCAGATCCCACCCTGTTGGTCTTAGGTATGGTTGTTCTAAGGTATTAGAAACCCCAAGAATAAGCTTTTTTTAAAAAAAAAAAAAAAAGCAAAGCAATGACAACAACTCCAGCTGAACCTGACCATGACTTTCAGCAGTCTCACATGGAATATAATTTGGAAAATGATCCTCACTTAGTAACTTTCATTATAAAGATCAAAGGAGCGTTAAAACATCAGGAGAGTGGCTGACTCTTGATTGGCATGACCATCGAAAACCGTCAGCTTCGCTGTCAGATCTAGAGGGCTGGGGCGACTTTTTTCACTCCAGTGTCGGTCAGTGCATGTGGAGGACAAGTGCTTACCTTGGGGTGTGGTAACTTATGTGGGAATGAACTTCCTTCAGCATTAACTCGGTGTCCCCAGGGTCTCTGTTATTGCTTGTTGCTTAAAAAAAAATTACACTTCTGTGATAGAGAAGGAGCCAGACTCTTCATTAGTTATTTGATTCTTTTCTTCCACCAAACTTCAACATTGAGAGATGGTAGGGGAAAAAAACCCAAAGATGTAAGAGTGTCTGGAACTTGGATTCAAATCCTGCTCTGTGGCCTCAGGAAAGTTTCTCATCCCCTCTGATCCTCATCTCACAGCTGAAGCAATGGTGGCTGACTCACAGGGATTGCCACTGGTCATCAAGTCAGTTGCAATGCCTAGCACACTTACCTGTGGACAGTGGAGCAGAGCATGGCCGGGTCCTGCCGGGTCCTCAGTCTCTGCTGTGCTTGAGTCCACTGCTGTAGGCATCACATCTGTCAGTCTACCTCCTTGAAGCTCCTCCTTCTCTTTTTTTTTCCCCACTCACCTTCTACTTTACCAAGCAAGTAGAGAGGGTCATTGAAAAACATGGGCAATTGCCCAGCTATTCTTGCCGCCTTCCTATCTGTTTCTACTCATAGCAACTCTCCTCCTGGTTTCTGAGGCTATAATCTTAAAGGGTGGTGAGTGTTGACCTTTCTGTTGAGAAGCTGCTCGTGGATTTGTACCTTTTTGTTGTTGTCAGCAGCGCAACACACCAGCCTCCATAGCTCACCTGCCCACCTATGAGTTCCTGTTCACTCCCAAGTCTTGGCTTCCTCCAAACTGCAGCTCCACCGAACTCCACCCACACCTCTCCCACTCCCGCTGCTCACTTCCCCAGGATTTCCGCTTCCAGATTCCCGAGAAATCAGATTGCTACAAGCAGCAGAACGAAGCTGTGAAGAAAGTAAGGAGGACCGCAAGTCTCAATTAAGGGCAGATTGTTAATTTCCAAATTTTCACCTCCCCCCACTTTGCTGGAAAGATAACCACACCAGCAGGGGTTAAAAACTACTTTTTAGACAAATGGACCCCTATTTTTATATTATTTTTAAAAATTAATTTTAATGAAAGTTTCATGAAAGACTTAGGGTTTCCAGTCATTCATTGTTGCACTTTTCTCCCTACCCACCCCCTCCCCTCCAATTTACTCTTCTCCTTGAAAAGAAAGAAAAACTCTTTCATTGTTATACAGTCCCTCCCCCCCAAGTTCACTCCACTGTGCAGCCTTCACTCTGGACTTCTGTAATGACAAGAATACCCATTCATCTGTCCCTTTTAAACAGTTCTCTCCCTCATCTGTTACAATGCAATATATGTCATTCCTTCCCTCCTTTTCTGTCTTCACTCAACCCTGATGTCAGTCCCATTTTACAACAGTGGCCCTATGCAATATTTGTCCTTTTGTGACTGAATTGTACCCCTATTTTATGCAGGTCTCTAGTTGGATTCGATCTTGGTTAGTAACGCTAGTTCTAGCCACAGAAGAGACAAATCCTTGACAATGCGGATAGGGGAGTTTTTAATATGCCCAATGATATTTAGCTCTCTTCTTTTAATTTTTATTTTAGCTCTCTTCTAATGAAATAAGTTCTAGGATTTGCTTTTTCCTTTCAAGATCAAAGAGAAGAAAACAAACACTGGCTTCTTTATGCCTTAAAATAAGCGTAGTGTCACATTTTAACAGGGCTTTATGTTCAGAGGGCTACATAATTAATTCAGAAGGCTGCTTTGATAACCAAAGCAATCATGGAAAATCAAGAATTAATTTAAATATGTGTCCTAACCTCATGGCTTTGTAGAATTCTGCAAGCTGGGTTGTGTTTGAGATGTTTCTTTCTTTTTAACCGTCTCATTGTGCTTTAGATGAAAATTTACAGAGAAAATTTGGCTTTCTATTCAACAATTCATATCTGCTACGTTTTGTGATATCGATGACATTCCCCACATTGTAAGCAGCATTCTTCCTACTTCCTCCCTGCATTTACTGTCTCCATCCATCCTTCCTTCCTCCCCCTTCTGTCCTTCTGGAGCTTGTCCTGGAGTAGATGACGCCCCTTTGATCTTGCATGGTTGGTTGGTCTAGTGTCCTAAGGAGCGAGTACCTCCTTGGTGTCCAACTTACAGACCTGCCTGTTGTTTACATGAAAGCTTGGGCACAGGGGTGAGTTCAAGTACAGGCTTGAAGGGTGATTACTAAGGACTAATCTTGAGAGCTCCACCTGTCTCTTTCCAACCAATGAACCTGGTCTTTTTTTTTTTTCTTTTTAGTTTTGTTCCACATTTTTTCCCTGTTCTTAAAAAATTTAATTTGAAATAACTTAAATATTTCATCATTAAGAAATTTTTTATTAAGTGTTTTATTAATGATTTTAATGCAACATATATATAATTTTTACAGCATATTCTTTCCATTTAATTTTCCCCCCATTCACTCATTGTTGCACATTTTTTTTTCACTGTATTCAGGACCTTTTGCTTGGATCCCATTCAGAGTGGTCAGCCGGGTACCATCTAGTTCTTCTGGTCTCGAGGTCATGGATACTGAAGTTCATGTGGTCCCATTCCTCCTTTGGATTCAGTGTTTTATTTTCTTCACTCTTCCCTGCTCTGTACAGAGAGAGATCAACAGCTATAAAGGATTGACATGGCTTTTTAATCTCTCTGAGCCTCAGTTTCCTCTCCTATGGAATACAGAGGTTAACAATGACCTCATAGGGATGTGTAAAGATGAATTGAGATAATAATAATACCGATTCCCTAGTGTGGCCCAGTTATGGCAACCCAAGTAAGAAGAGCTAACATTTCTCTACTGCCAAATAGGTACCAGGCAGATAACAGTGACCTTAGAGGCATATCTAGAGGTGACTGTAAATCTTCACCCATTTATTTAGATTTCACCCTAAATTCACCACAAGCCTTGCAGTCGAAACTGCCCTGTATGTTTTGGCAATATAATGAGCTTTGTGGGGTTAGCTTATGAGTAACTTGATATTTGTCCTAAGGTGCTGGGAGGCCAAAGAAGAACATGATAGTAGTATAGGAATTTTACTCAAGATTTACTTACTGAGGTGGCAGGGCCAGGTTCAAGTCTCCATACCTCCTAGAGAGAGGAAGGGGCTTTTCTATCTCTGGTGAACCAAGGTGGCATGTGCCGGGAGCCCTGATCTCCAAGGCCACCCAAGCCAGTATCACATAGCAGTGACTTAGCAAGAGTATGGCTATCATTCACTTCACAAGAACTTGTTCCCCGACACCCTAAATTCAAACAACCCAAACGCTCTCCGTAAGTTTATTTCTATATGAAAATGTAAAACAGGCTTCACACAACTGACATGATCACTCTTTTTTTCTTACACAGTGTGTAAGTAGGAAAGACCTAAATTAGAAATCTGACTGCTTCTTCCTTCTGATTTTGATGCTGCTGGTCCATTTTGATTGTCACAAGGAAGGATGATTGAGTGATTGAGTGATTAGAGGGCAAAGGATCTGCCAGTCACCCAGCAAAGCACTGGAAAGGCCCCCCTCCCGCCACCAAAGAATGACCAGGTTCAAAATGTAGATGGCACCAAGGTTGGGGAGCTCTGGTTTATCCATATTTTTTTATGTGGTTGGGGTTTTTGTTAAAAAAAGACAAAACAAACCAACAATATTAGGATTCTTCTCATAATCTAATTTTTCCCATATTAATACGATGAACATCTTTCCATATCCACAACCATTTGAGATTTCTGCCTCACTACTTTTGCCAGAAGCTTAATAAACCATTACAGATGAGCATTTTCTCGGTTTTATTTCTCTCAGCTCCAGTGCTGGGCATTTATTATTACAGACGGAACTGTGATGAATGTTTTTACTTCCATCTCTGTGCTGTGGCATGATTATTTTCTTACAATGTATTCTAAGACACAACATGGCTCCCAGAAAGGACCAGGAAGGTGGCATCAGCTTTTACTCAACACACCAGCAGAATGTGCACATGCCCGTCTGCCTGCAGCTCCCCTGAGAGTGGGGTTTCCAGTCTTTGAAACCTCTCTCTGGGGTGACCAGGCCCAGACCCTGTGCTCTGCAGAGGAACTGGCTGGGGTGGGGTCGAGGTACAAGTACCAGGTCTGCTGGAGACTGCGTGACCCATGACAGCCACCTGACCGGAAATGCTCACCACCTCTGTTCCCTACAGGATCCAGACTCATCAGTCAGGCCTCAGCCAAAGTGGACATGGAGTTTGATTATGACGGGCCTCTGATGAAGACAGAAGTCCCGGGGCCTCGGTCTCGGGTGAGCTCACCATTCCTAAGTTTGGGGATGTTTTGGAAAACATGAGGCAAGATTATGACAAGCTCAGGGGGCCGTGCTATTAGGGCGTTCAAAGAACTCACTGCTAAAGGCCAGGATGTCAGGGAAGTCCAGATATTCTGGGGTTGCGGACATGCTGGACAAGGTAATCCAGCTCTCTAAGCCTCAATTTCCTTAACTATAAAATGGACATAGGGTTGTGGAGAAGATGTAGAGATGGTGTGTGCAGGGATGTCACATCAGACACTAAATAGGGCTCCAGAAACAGGGCCCTGTCTGTTCCTGTGCAGTCTTCCCGGTCAACATTGACTGCTCAGGAAGTAGCATCCTCTGCCTTTTCCTGAAGGATCCAGAAAGAGCATGTTGTTGTCACGGGATACTGGCGAGTCGACTGTGACTCACAGCGACCCGATGAACAGCAGACGGAAACCATGACCTATCCTGTGCCATCTTCACAGTCCCTGCTACACTGCAGCCTGTATTGTCACAGAGAGTAGTATTAGTCACTGTTGTTGTTGTTATTGTTGTGTACCATCGAGTCAGAACTGGCCCATAGCTGACCCTCTGGTGGGTTTTCAGAGGCAGTTAATCGAATGGGAAGAGATTGCCCATCTTTCTCCTTCAGAGCAGCTGGTGGCCTCGAACCATGTATCTTCAGGATTGTAGTGTAGCTTCTTGCCACTAGGTCTCCGAAGTTCCCTTTTTGTCACAGTAGCATTAAAAAAACAAAACAAAAAACCCAGATACCCTTGGGCTTGGATTTTCAGGAGGAATTAGACAAAGGAAAGCATTTGGTTCCAATCAAGGGCATGTGTTGAGCAGAGTGCATGAGAGAAGCCGGGCCCCGAGATACCGCTGATGAGGGAGGTGGGGTCAGGTCCTGAAGACCCTCAACCTCTAGACGTGGGAAAGCATGAAGCATTTGAAGCTGCTTTGCTCAGAGTGTGTCCTGTCCTATAATGTCTTTGTCCTTCTCACTTACAGGAATTAATGAAACAGCTGAATATGATGCAGGTAAGGCAACAAGAAGGTATTGCTTCCGTCACCTCTTCATTGCAGTTCTGCCAAAAGGCACAGACACTTAACCCGTGCTGGCCCTATTTTAAAAATGGTAGTTGTTTTAAGCCTCTCTCTGAGAGAGAGAGAGAGAGAAAGAGAGAGAGAGAGAGAGAGAGTGTGTGTGTTTTCTTCCCTGAATTCCTCTGACTCCTGCTTTGACCCATTCAGTAATTATGAGTGTGCTGTTTCCCTTTCACATACTGGTGAATTTCCAGAATTTCCTTGTGAATTTCCAGAATTTCCTTGTATTACTCATTTCTAACTGTGATGCTCTACAGTGTCTGTGAACGTGTTCTGTGTGCTCTCCATCTTTTATGTTTATTGAGCCTTTTTTTTTAAATAGCCTAGCATCTGGTTTATTCAGGAGGACATTGTATGTGTCTTGAGGGGGAATATGGTTATTGGCATCTATATTGTAAAGATTTGGAAGTAGGAGTGGCATCTACTTCCTAAACAACGTGCCTCCAGAAACTCTATGAACTTTGATAAAAGCCCATAGTTAAAGAAAGGCTTCAGGCCTTTTGTTCATAGGGTCGTTATGATTTGTGCTCGACTTGAAGGCAATCAACAACAATAACAATTAATTGTAAAGATACCTGTTGGGTCTTGTTAGCTTATAGGGTCCAAGTTTTCAGTCTCCTTGTTGGTCTTCTACCTTGCCCTCTATGGGATTGCAGGCGGGGTATGAAGTCCCCAACTATTATATTCCAATTGTCCTTTTCTCCCATCAGTTCTGTTAATGTGGCCTTTGTGTATTTTGGGCACAAGTGGTGTAGTGCATGTTGTATTGCCTGCTAACCACAGGGTCAGCAGTTCAAATCTGCCAGCTGATGCATGGTAGATAGAAGGGTGAGCAGTCTTCTGTTAAGATTTACAGCGTGGGAAACCTGATGGTTTATCAGGAACCGGTAGCTTTTGAGTTGGAGCTGTTAGGTGTCTGTATAAGGGACTCTGGTGGCCTATTATATAGGGAGTGGTGCTGCTAACCCCAAGGCCATGCCTCTCTAGCGGTTCAAATCCCCCAGCAGCTTCTTAGGAGAAAGATGGGCAGTCTCCTCCCCTGTCGTCTACAGCCTGGGAAACCCAATGGAGAATCAGCTATGAGTTGGCTTCAACTAGACAGAAAGAGTTTTCTTACATTTTGAGATACATGTGTATTTATAACTGTTATAGTTTCCTTGTGAGTGGAGTCTGCATCAAATGTCTCTCTTGACCTCTAGTTACTTTTTCTTTTTATGGTCTATTTTGCCTGAGAGCAGCAGAAGCCGTTCCCCCTGTCCTATGATTGCTGTGTATAGGCTCCGTCTTTTCACACTCATTTACTTTCACCCTATTTGTCCTATTAAAACCTATCTCCTGGCGAGCTCTGGTGGCCTAGTGGCAAGAAACTGCACTGCAATCTCAGAGGTACATGGTTCGAATCCACCAGATGCTCTGCTGGAGAAGGAGGAACAATCTTCTCCTGTACCAGTCAGATCTGAGTTGACAGTACACACAAAAAATAATGAAATTTTTAAAAAAAAAACAAAACAAACAACAAAAACAAAACAAAAAACCAAACCTATCTCCGGCAGTCAGCACGGCATTGGATCTTGATTTTGTTTGTTTGTTTCTTTATCATCCGGTGATCCCTGCCTTTTGATTGACTTGCTTAATTTATTCACCTTTGATGCTATTGATGAGATGAGGTTGAACTTATGCTGTCTTTTATTTTGGTTTGGGGTGAGGTGTGTTCTCTGTCTCTCAGTTCCTCTTCTGCTGCTCTCTTTCACCGAAAGTGAGTATTTCCGAGGGCATCCCATTAATCCTTTTAATGATCGCTTTGCTGTATTTGGGGAGTTATTTTCTTAGCACTTGCTGTAGGGCTTGTAAAATACATCTTAACTGATCAGAATCCATTTCCGGTTTTCATCAGAGCTTTTTTTATTGTGACATGTAATACAAATATAGACATATCCCTACAATGCAAAGCCACCGCTTAATAAACTGTAAGTCAAACCATCACATGATTACCCCGGGGCATGAAATTCTTCGTCAGCACACCACATCTCATCCGTGTGTCTATATGTTGAGCAGGGCAGAGCTTATTTCACCAGTTCAAGCTTAATCCTGAAAGATTCCGATTCTGGGACGTGGCGGCAGAGCTAAATCAGTCTCTTCTTTCCCCAAGAATGCAGAGGCTGTGCATTTTTTCTGCAACTATGAAGAGAGTCGAGGTAACTACTTGGTCGACGCAGATGGCAACCGGATGTTGGATCTTTATTCACAGATCTCCTCTGTTCCCATTGGTAAGAACCGGGAAATCAGTCCTTGAATGTAGCACCCCTCACTGCCGCTCTGCCTCTTGGCGGTGGCCACCTAGGCTTTTGCTCCTCCTCCCAGGAGACCTGGGAGCTCTGGTGGCTTAGGGTTAAGGGGCTGTGCTGCCAAGACAAAGACACATGGATTGAATCCACCAGCTGCTCCAAAGGAGAAAGATGGGAAGTCTCCCTTCGTGCAATTAAACTGCCTCTGAAAATCCACTGGAGGGTCAGCTGTGAGTCGGTTCTGACTCAACAAAACCCAACAACAACAACCACCCAGGATACCCATTGCCATGCTGGGCCTGCTTTTCACCAGCCACTTCCGCAAGGAATGGGAGTGGACGGCAGGGGAAAGGAACAAGCCATATATAGAAGGCTGTGTGACAGATAAGACTTGCCAGGTCTCATTTACTCCTTCCCAGAAACCCACAAAGTCCATAATACCCTGATTTTACTTATGAGGTGAAGTAGCTTAAAGAGGACACAGAGCTAGGAGTTGAGCCCAGTCCTGGAAGGTGGTTTTCTGGTGACTCATCGCACAGTGGAGAGGTCTGAGGTCTGGTTCACCTGATAGGGCTCCCAAGGATGGGCTTCTGTGTCAGTGGCCGCTAACCAAATGACCAGAGGTTCGAATCCACCCAGAGGTGCCTTGGAAGAAAAAGCCGCTGACCTGCTTTTGAAAAATGAGCCATTGCAAATCCTGCAGGCGCTGATTCTGCCTGGATGCACACGGGTTGCCCGGATCAGAGTCGACTGGACCGCTCTATATCTGACAACAAAAAAGGGAGTGGTGGGGCGGCTGAGGAGAAGATACTAAGAAGGTTGGACTCTCAGCTAGAGACAAGCCTCAGCCTGATCCTGGGGGGTAGAGGGGCATGGTTCTGTGGCATGAATTCGGCCCCGGAGTTAGTCCTAGATTGGAAATCACAGACCTGCTATTTTGTGTCCCTGTGTCAGTCTCATTGCCCACCAGTGGCCAGAAGGGCAGTGGGCGGTCCCCAGGGCACCACAGCTTTTATTAGCCAGGGCCGTGTGCCAGCTGCAGCCCTTATCAACCAGCACACAGCACCTGGGAGATGCATGCACCTGCCCAGGAAAGGTGCCAGGATGGGGCACCCACAGCACGCACTTCACCTGGCTAGCCTGGCAGTGCCAAGTGAGACTGCCAGCGGGCGACAGGGGTGGGATCCGCAGAGCTAATTTTCAGGTTGGTGCTATTTGTAGCGTGGGTGCTGCCCTATCTGGCTGGTGGATCCAGCCCGGCACCCAGAGGTGAAGCCTGTTCCTTCAACGATCGTGCAGGTCTGTCTACAGCAGAGGAGAAAGCATCCTTCACTCTCTATATTAGCAGTTCCCTCCAGGGAGCTATCTCCAGACACTAGACCTCTGCCTTCCACGCCTTCCCTCTTTCCCCTGGTCCGTTCCCACTAGCCTGTTCATGTCCCATAAAGACAGGTTTTAGCAGTAACCTGATGACTCGCCCTTTTTAAAATCTGTTATTCTAGGATTTTACAGTCAAATATTGACGAAACCTTATCACCCCTTAGAGATGGATTGACAGAACGGCCGCCACGATGGCCTCAAGCCCAGCAGCGGTAGTGAGGCTGGCCCAGGGGTGTTCTGTCAGGAACTCACAGGAGAAACTGCGAGTTGGAGTCTAGTCAGTGGCACCTAAAGCAACAACATCTCCCCTCTGAAGGAGCCTGGTGGCACCATGGTTAAGCACTAGGTTGCTCTCGGAAAGGACAGTGGTTCAAATCCACCAGCTGGTCTGCAAGAGCAAAGACCTGGCTCTCTGACAGCCTAGAAAACCTTATGGGGCAGTTCTGCTGTCACACTGGTTGCAACAAGTAAAAAATTGACTTCACAGGTCCAAACAAGGACATGTCCCCTGCGTGATAGGGTGGAAAGGGTGGGCTCCCTCTGTTTCAGTCCCCAGCCGTTGTGTGTGGGGGTGGGAAGGACCATTGCCAACTGCAGTTGGTAAAAGACTATCATTGTTTGTTGCCATTGAATGAATTCCTACTCAGTGCAAGTCTACCAGCTTCTCCATGGAAGAGGCACAGTCTCCTCCCATTAAGCTTGATAACCCTGGAAGCCCACTGCAGGGTGGCCATGGGTTAACTGAGCGGGATTGGATCTGATGGGTTTTCCTGGTGACTGTGTGTGTGCGGAGAGAACTGCTCCATACGGTCCTCGAGGCCTGGATGTTTTGGAAGCAGGTCACCACGCCTGTCTTCCAGGGCACACTGAAGTGGCTTTGATCTGCCCACCTTGTGGTTAGGAGTAGAGCACTTAACCATTTCAACCACCCAGAAAAAACAAACAAACAAAACAACAACAAACCTCCAACTCATTGCCGTCGAGTCAGAACTGACTCCTAGCTGACTCTCCAGTGGATTTTCCAAAGCTGTAAATCACGTTGGAGGAGAATGCCGCCTTTCTCTGCAGAGCTGCTGTCGGGTTCAGATCCTAAGAAGGGCTTATTAGGTCAGCAGTGCAGCTCCCTACAGACTAGGCCACTTGACCACCTTGTACCATCCAACAGCCTTGTTAAAAGGCTAAAATGTTTTCCAAGTTCTCTCTATGATCATCTTTTATTCTACATGACTAAAGATGATTCAAACTATATATTAGAGATAGAGATGATAGAGATAGCAATAGCCAAAGACATTCCTCTAGGTCGTATAGCCCTGGTGTCCAAGTTGTCATACAGTGGTAACTTGTGGTTGCTGTGAGGCTGAACACTGTGACACTGATGTGTCAAATGCATTAATGGCTGGTTACCCAATGCGGACAGAGAATGGGGTGGAGCTCCCGGATTAAAACAAGCTTGGAAGGAGGAATGGCATCCACTTCCATAATAGTTTGCCTCCGGAAACCCTATGAACCTGGAGAGAGGATGAGACACCCAAGCATTGAGGACTCTCCTTCATAGGGTCACTATGAGCCGCCTGAGACTCGACGGCACTTAACAACAACAACAACACAATATATAGAGAGGCAAGAAGCTGCGCTGCAGTCCTGAAGGCAGGTGGTTCGAGGCCATCAGCTGCTCTGTGTGAGAAGGCTGGGCAATCTCCTCCCATGTGATTAACTGCCTCTGAAAACCCGCCAGAGGGTCAGGTGTGGATTGGTTCTAAAAATACACAGTATAATATAAAATACACACTATAATAT